ATATATATATATATATATATATTTGTTTTGTAGTTAATTTAAATTTCAAATAAAATATTTCAAAGAATTGGAAAGATGCTGTAAAAACATAATGGTAATATTATTCGGAGAAGTGCAAAAGGTTAAATAAGAAAATAAAAAAAAAATATATTTTAATAATCTTAAGAAAGGTTAGTACATATATATATATATATAACATAAATGTTCTAAGATAATTCTGAAATAAGTGCAGGTAAATTTTCTTCTTAGAATTCTAGGTCTTTTCGACCGACATAGTCAGCTCCGTAAAAAGAGATAATTGAACGTTACGAAAGCTCTTAGGCGTCTCGAAACGATGCCTGGAAGGAAAACCGACTACCGTCTATGGGCATTCTTCTAAAACCCGGTAGCAGTAACACAGCAACTGCACCACCAGCTGCCTTGCTTGCTTGCATGCATCTTTGTTGATGCTGCACCAGTATATTAGTGTTGTTACCAGACCACAAAGAAACCTCCCCATTCCCACCTTTACATAGACACTGCTGCACATACCCCGCTTTTCACAATTTTCTTACTACTTCTGTTCCAGTTAGAGAAAAGAAGAAGAAAAATAAAATAAAAAAATATAAAAGAAAACTCGAATGAATATTCTACGAATAAAAACCACCACGAGTAGTTCAAGATCGGCCAGGTTGTGTTTTTTCTTCTTCTTAGAATTCATAATGGATCTTTTCTTCCCTAATTTGTAAAATATTTTCTACACTTTGTAATACTCCATTATTATTACATTTATTTTTGTTTTTTTTTAATTTCACGAATTTTTAATTTATATATATATTAATAATAATATATAAATAATATATATAATATTTTTTATTTTTTATATTTATATTTTATATTATATTGTATTTTATATTTTAATAATTTTTACAATATATATAATTATATTATATATTTTATTATTTTAATATCTTATTTATTAATTTATTTATTAATTTATAAGATAACAATCAATTCTAATACAAGTTGTATTATTTTTTTTTTTTTTTAGTACATAATTTCAAATGATAAATTACTGATTGTAAGTTAATTTCCATTTTGTAGACCTTCAGGGTTGGAACAGGATGATTAAGTAACATGGGGAATATAATTATAATTTCTGAGTATAAACTTCGAACGAATTTAACCTGATAACCTAACCGAAGAGGAGTTAAACACGAAACAGCTTTCATAGTTTCTCTCTTACTCTGTAAAATACAAACACATAGACACACATTGACATGTTTGATAAAGTAGAGAGAGAGAGAGAGAGAGAGAGAGAGAGAGAGAGAACATTTTGTCGAGAACCTTTAATAAAGCTTCGAATATTAAGTTTATTCTTGGTAACTTAATTCTAACATTTTACTTTATATTAGAATGAAAAATAAAATTCAATAAAAATCAATTTAATTATTTATCATAAAATAATGTAATGTATATAATATAATTTATATTATATATTATTACAAGTTTTACTTATAATTGTATAACCTATAATTTATACATATTATACATTTATACATAATACAAAATATATAATAAATAATACAAATATAATAATAATACTTTCTATATATATATAGTATTATTTTATATATATATATATATATATAAAAAGTATTATTATTATTTTTTTTTATTTCATATGTAATAATAATAATAATAATAATAATATGATTGTATCATATTAAAATACCAAGATTAACTTTATCTTCGTTTTAATTTCTTAATTCCATTCATAAAAACAACATCTTCAAAGTATCCAGATGTTGACTCTACTCTATCTAAAGCTTTTTAACCTTCTCCCCATTCTTTTTCTTTTTTTGTTTTTTTTTTTTTTTTTTTTTTTTGTCTTCTTCTTTCGACTTACTCTTGACCCTGATTGTCTTTAAGTTACCCACTTTCCTATTTTAGAATTGGCTCTTACAACATCAGAACCGTGTTATCCTATGAGAATTCGTTCTTAGCTTGACTGAGTTTATTTTTAAACGAGACAAGATCTATTCTTAGGTGTATCTCCTTTAGTACTCTTCATGAGAAAGAGAAAGAGAAATAGAAAGAAAGAAAGAAAGAGAGAGAGAGAGAGACAGACAGACAGTAAATAAGATATAGAAAGATAGAAGAAGGGGAAAAAGATTTCATGATACGCAACACAAATATATATATGTATGATGAACTATTACAGCTGTTATTACTAACATTAAATCTTATATATATAGAAGGTTTAAAATATATATATTTTTTTTTTTTTCAGTAAGTGATACGCTCACATGACGTGAAGGAAGCTTTATTTCCTTGCTCCCGCTTTTGAAAAACTTTGAGATAAACTAAGGAAGAAGTGTTGTGTGTGTGTGTGTGTGTAGATCGATTTCTTCTTTTAAGGGTAACTCACCCCTACCTTTATAACATTTTTCCTTATTCTTCTCTTCCTCTTATCTTCTTTTTCTTTTTCTTCTTCTTCTTTTTTCTTATTTTTATTGAGAGATTGTGTTGTGAGAAGAAAGAGACAGTATGGAATATTGGATTATATAAAAGAAGAAAAAATACAAGTTTTATTTTAAAAATTGGATTAAAGTATTGATTTGTTATTTTTGGAGGGGGGTGGGGGAAATTCCTGACAATATTGGTGAATTATGTTTTGTGGGATTAATAAAGAAAATTTGGGTATGCTTTGGTTCAAAACTCGTTGCGTAAGTGTACCTTTTTTTTTATGTATAAACACACATATTTATTTTAATTGTAAATTATATATTTATATATATATATATATATATATATATATATTAATTAATAATATTAATAATATAATTTTAATTAATAATATATATTA